CTCAGACTATTAGACTCTGTGAGACTCTATGAGACTCTATGAGACTCTCTGTGACTCTATGAGACTCTATGTGATTCTATGAGACTCAGACTCTATGTGACTCTATGAGTCTCTATGTGACTCTATGAGACTCTATGTGACTCTATGAGACTCTATGTGACTCTCTGTGACTCTATGAGACTCTATGTGATTCTATGTGATTCTATGAGACTCTATGTGACTCTATGGGACTCAGACTATTAGACTCTATGTGACTATGAGACTCTATGTGACTCTATGAGACTCTATGTGACTCTATGAGATTCTATGAGACTCTATGTGACTCTATGAGACTCAGACTCTATGTGACTCTATGGGACTCAGACTATTAGACTCTATGTGACTATGAGACTCTGTGAGACTCTATGAGACTCAGACTCTATGAGACTTAGACTCTATGTGACTCTATGAGGCTTAGACTCTATGTGACTCTATGAGACTCTATGTGACTCTATGAGACTCAGACTATTAGACTCTATGAGACTCAGACTCTATGTGACTCTATGAGACTCAGACTCTATGCGACTCTATGTGACTCTATGAGACTCAAGACTATTAGACTCTATGAGACTCAGACTCTATGAGACTTTATCAGACTCTATGACACTCTATGAGACTCAGACTATGAGACTCTATGAGACTCAGACTATCAGACTCTATGAGACTCTATGAGACTCAGACTATCAGACTCTATGAGACTCTATGAGACTCAGACTATTAGACTCTATGAGACTCAGACTCTATGTGACTCTATGTGACTCTATGAGACTCAGACTATTAGACCCTATGACACTCAGACTAACAGACTCTATGAGACGCTATGAGACTCAGACTATTAGACTCTATGAGACTCAGACTCTATGTGACTCTATGGGATTCTATGAGACTCTATGTGACTCTATGGGACTCTATGAGACTCTATGTGACTATGTGACTCTATGAGACTCTATGAGACTCAGACTCTATGAGACTCAGATTCTATGTGACTCTATGAGACTCAGACTCTATGTGACTCAGACTATATGAGACTCAGACTCTATGTGACTCTATGAGACTCAGACTCTATGTGACTCTATGGGACTCAGACTATTAGACTCTATGTGACTATGAGACTGTATGAGACTCTATGTGACTCTATGAGACTATGAGACTCTATGAGACTCTTTGTGACTCTATGAGACTCTATGTGACTCTATGAGACTATGAGACTCTATGTGACTATGAGACTCTATGGGACTCTATGGGACTCTATGAGACTCTATGGGACTCTATGTGACTATGTGACTCTATGAGACTCTATGAGACTCTATGTGACTCTATGAGACTCAGACTCTATGAGACTCTATGAGACTAAGACTCTATGTGACTCTATGAGACTCAGACTCTATGTGACTCAGACTCTATGAGACTCAGACTCTATGTGACTCTATGTGACTCTATGAGACTCTATGTGACTCTATGAGACTCAGACTCTATGTGACTCTATGGGACTCAGACTATTAGACTCTATGTGACTATGAGACTCTATGTGACTCTATGAGACTATGAGACTCTATGTGACTCTATGAGACTCTATGAGACTCTATGTGACTCTATGAGACTCAGACTATTAGACTCTATGAGACTCAGACTCTATGTGACTCTATGAGACTCAGACTCTATGAGACTCAGACTATTAGACTCTATGAGACTCAGACTATTAGACTCTATGAGACTCAGACTATCAGACTCTATGAGACTCTATGAGACTCAGACTATTAGACTCTATGAGACTCAGACTCTATGTGACTCTATGTGACTCTATGAGACTCAGACTATTAGACCATATGACACTCAGACTAACAGACTCTATGAGACGCTATGAGACTCAGACTATTAGACTCTATGAGACTCAGACTCTATGTGACTCTATGGGACTCTATGAGACTCTATGGGACTCTATGAGACTATGTGACTCTATGTGACTCTATGAGACTCTATGAGACTCAGACTCTATGTGACTCAGACTCTATGAGACTCTATGAGACTCAGACTCTATGAGACTCTATGTGACTCTATAAGACTCAGACTCTATGTGACTCTAAGGGACTCAGCCTATTAGACTCTATGTGACTATGAGACTCTGTGAGACTCTATGAGACTCTATGAGACTCAGACTCTATGTGACTCTATGAGACTCTATGTGACTCTATGTGACTCTATGAGACTCAGACTATTAGACTCTATGAGACTCAGACTATGTGACTCTATGTGACTCTATGAGACTCAGACTCTATGTGACTCTATGAGACTCTATGAGACTCAGACTCTATGTGACTCTATGAAACTCTATGTGACTCTATGAGACTCTATGAGACTCAGACTCTATGTGACTCTATGAGACTCTATGTGAGTCTATGTGACTCTATGAGACTCTATGAGACTCAGACTCTATGTGACTCTATGAGTCTCTATGTGACTCTATGAGACTCAGACTATTAGACTCTATGAGACTCAGACTCTCTGTGACTCTCTGTGACTCTATGAGACTCTATGTGACTCTATGTGACTCTGAGACTCTATGTGACTCTATGAGACTCTATGTGACTCTATGTGACTCTGTGAGACTCTGTGAGACTCTATGAGACTCTGTGAGACTCTTTGAGACTCAGACTCTATGAGACTCTGTGAGACTCTGAGACTCTATGAGACTCAGACTCTATGAGACTTAGACTCTATGTGACTCTATGAGACTCAGATTATTAGACTCTATGAGACTCAGACTCTATGTGACTCTATGAGACTCTATGTGATTCTATGAGACTCAGACTCTATGAGACTCTGTGAGACTCTATGAGACTCTGTGAGACTCTATGAGACTCAGACTCTATGAGACTCTATGAGACTTAGACTCTATGTGACTATGTGACTCTATGTGACTCTGAGACTCTATGAGACTCAGACTCTATGTGACTCTATGAGACTCTGTGACTCGATGAGACTCAGACTATTAGACTCTATGAGACTCAGACTCTATGTGACTCTATGATACTCTATAAGACTCAGACTCTATGTGACTCTATGAGTCTCTCTGTGACTCTATGAGACTCTATGTGACTCTGTGAGTCTCTATGTGACTCTATGAGACTCTATGAGACTCAGACTCTATGAGACTCTATGAGACTCTGTGAGACTCTATGAGACTCAGACTATTAGACTCTATGTGACTCTATGAGACTCAAGACTATTAGACTCTATGAGACTCAGACTCTATGTGACTCTACGAGACTCTATGAGACTCAGACTCTATGTGACTCTTTGAGACTCTATGAGACTCTATGAGACTCAGACTCTATGTGACTCTATGAGTCTCTATGTGACTCTATGAGACTCAGACTCTATGTGACTCTATGTGACTCTATGAGACTCAGACTTTTAGACTCTGTGAGACTCTATGAGACTCAGAATCAGACTCTATGTGACTCTATGTGACTCTATGAGACACTATGAGACTCGATGTGACTCTATGAGACTCTATGAGACTCTGAGACTCAGACTATTAGACTCTATGTGACGCTATGTGACTCTATGAGACTCAGACTATTAGACTCTATTAGACTCTATGAGACTCAGACTCTATGAGACTCTATGAGACTTAGACTCTATGAGACTCTGTGAGACTCTATGAGACTCTATGAGACTCTATGTGACTCTATGAGACTCTATGAGGCTCTATGTGACTCTATGAGACTCTATGTGACTCTATGAGACTCTATGTGACTCTATGAGACTCTATGAGACTCTGAGACTCTATGTGAATGTATGTGACTCTATGAGACTTTAAGAGACTCTATCAGACTCAGACAATTAGACTCTATGAGACTCTGAGACTCTATGAGACTCAGACTATTAGACTCTATATGACTCTATGAGACTCTATGTTTGGGCGTCATGGTGGCTGAGTGGATAGCACTCTTGCTTCTCAGCAAGAAGGTCCTGGATTCAAATCCCGGTCGGACCAGGGCCATTCTGAGTGGAGTTTGCATGTTCTCCCCGTGTCTGCGTAGGTTTCCTCCGGGTTCTCCGGTTTTCCCCTACCACTAAAAATATGTACAATAGGTCTGGCATGCGCCTTCTGTTCGGCGACCCCGCTCCCATCTCTGTGTGGAGTGAGAAACAAGTGCCCAAAAAATAACAATTGTAAACCGCTTTGTGACTCTGGTCTGTGAAAGGCGGTATATAAATAAACATTACTTACTTACTTACTTATGTGACTCTATGAGACTCAGACTATTAGACTCTATGTGACTCTATGAGACTCAGACTCTATCTGACTCTATGTGACTCTATGAGACTCTATGAGACTCTATGTGACTCTATGAGACTCTATGAGACACTATGAGACTCTATGTGACTCTATGAGACTCTGTGAGACTATGTGACTCTATGAGACTCTATGAGACTATGAGACTCTATGAGACTCAGACTCTATGTGACTCTATGAGACTCTATGTGACTCTGAGACTCTATGTGACTCTATGAGACTCTATGGGGCTCTATGTGACTCTATTAGACTCTATGTGACTCTATGAGACTCTATGAGTCTCAGACAATTCGACTCTATGAGACTCTATGTGACTCAGACAATTAGACTCTATGAGACTCTATGTGACTCTATGAGACTCTATGAGACTCTATGAGACTCAGACTATTAGACTCTATGAGACTCTATGTGACTCTATGAGTCTCAGACAATTCGACTCTATGAGACTCTATGTGACTCAGACAATTAGACTCTATGAGACTCTATGTGACTCTATGAGACTCTATGAGACACTATGAGACTCAGACTCTATGTGACTCTATGAGAGTGCACATCTGAGCAGTACAAACTTATCTGAGCAGTAGTTACACATCCTAAACCTAGAGCAGTCTCAGTGACGGCTGTTGGTTAACGTTTGAATGTGTGTAACCTGCCTCAGGGCGGGTATGACGCAGGGTTCCTGTACCACTGCAAGTTCTCAGAAGATCAGGACCAAGATCCAGCTCAGCGTCAGGATGAACCCTTTCAAGCTCTGGCTCTTCACAACGCAGAGAGAGACCCTGTGGTGTCCGTCACCTTCAGGTACCAAAACTGTACGCTATACTAGGGCTCACAAGAGACTATTTTAAAATTGTCGGCCGATTTTTTCTCCGAGATAAAAAATCATGGGTCTAACCACTTTGGTCGTACAGTGTGTGGTGCGCAGCCACACGGCAAAAATCACACAAACCACACACATCACATACGAACCGATTTCACCCCCGAGCATTCCCAGATCAGACAGAAATCTCACAAAATCTCTGGAGATCAAGGGTGACTTCAGAGTAAACATTCATGGCGGAGGATGCAGTGGCGATAGTTTGTTTTTATCTGAGAAAAGACGTAATCAAAAGAAGTCCTTCCGAGCGACGAGCACAGTCTTAACACACCACACACGGCGGGAAAATCCATCAGATTTTTTGTTACGATATTCGGAGTGTTCTTACGACTGTGGTAGGGGTAAATCGGGTCCAAAATCAGCCTAAATTATCCTGCCGTGTGAACCAGGCTTAAGACCTGAGAGGACAAAGAAAGAATACACCAGGTATTCTCTCTCTCTCTGGTCTCTCTCTGGTCTCTCTTTGCGGTCTCTCTCTCTGGTCTTTCTCTCTGGTCTCTCTCAGGTCTCTCTCTGGTCTCACTTTCTGGTCTCTCTCTGATCTCTCTCTGGTTTCTCTCTCTGGTCTCTCTCTGGGGTCACTTTCTGGTCTCTCTCTGGTCTCTCTCTCTGGTCTCTCTCTGGTCTCTCTCTGGTCTCTCTCTGGTCTCTCTCTGGTCTCTCTCTCTGGTCTCTCTCTGGGCTCTCTCTCTGGTCTCTCTCTGGGCTCTCTGTGGTTTCTCTGGTCTCTCTCTGGTCTCTCTCTCTGGTCTTTCTCTCTGGTCTCTCTGGTCTTTCTCTGCTCTCTCTCTGCTCTCTCTCTGGTCTGTGTCTGGTCTCTCTCTCTAGTCTCTTTCTCTGGTCTATCTCTGGTTTCTCTCTCTGGTCTCTCTCTGGTCTCTCTCTCTGGTCTCTCTCTCTCTGATCTCTCTCTGGTCTCTCTCTCTGGTCTCTCTCTGGTCTCTCTTCCTTCTCTCTTTCTCTCTGGTCTCTCTCTGGTCTCTCTCTGGTCTCTCTTCCTTCTCTCTTTCTCTCTGGTCTCTCTCTCTGGTCTCTGGTCTTTCTCTCTGGTCTCTCTCTGGTCTCTCTCTCCGGTCTTTCTCTCTGGTCTCTCTCTCCGGTCTTTCTCTCTGGTCTCTCTCCGGTCTCTCTCTGGTCTCTCTGTCTGGTCTCTCTCTGGTCTCTCTGTCTGGTCTCTCTCTGGTCTCTCTCTCTCTGGTCTCTCTCTCTGGTCTCTCTCTCTCTGGTCTCTCTCTCTGGTCTTTCTCTCTGGTCTTTCTCTCTGGTCTCTCTCTGGTCTTTCTCTGCTCTCTCTCTGCTCTCTCTCTCTGGTTTCTATCTCTGGACTCTTTGGTAGCTCTCTCTGGTCTGTGTCTGGTATCTCTCTCTAGTCTCTCTCTCTGGTTTCTCTATGCTCTCTCTCTCTGGTCGCTCTTTCTGGTCCCTCTCTAGTCTCTCGCTCTGCTCCCTCTTCCTTCACTCTTTCTCTCTGGTCTCTCTGGTCTCTCTCTCTGGTCTCTCTCTGGTCTCTCTCTGGTCTCTCTCTGCTCTCTCTTCCTTCTCTCTTTCTCTCTGGTCTCTCTCTGGTCTCTCTCTGCAGTCTCTCTCTCTGGTCTCTCTCTCCGATCTCTCTCTGGTTTTTCTCTCTGGTCTCTCTCTCTGGTCACTCTCTGGTTTCTCTGGTCCCTCCCTGGTCGCTCTTTCTGGTCTCTCTCTGGTCTCTCTCTGGTCTCTCTCTGCTCTCTCTTCCTTCTCTCTTTCTCTCTGGTCTCTCTGGTCTCACTTTTTGGTCTCTCTCTCTGGTCTTTCTCTCTGGTCTCTCTGGTCTCTCTCTCTGGTCTCTCTCTGGTCTCTCTCTGGTCTCTCTCTGCTCTCTCTTCCTTCTCTCTTTCTCTCTGGTCTCTCTCTGGTCTCTCTCTGCAGTCTCTCTCTCTGGTCTCTCTCTCCGATCTCTCTCTGGTTTTTCTCTCTGGTCTCTCTCTCTGGTCACTCTCTGGTCTCTCTCTGGTCCCTCTCTGGTCTCTCTTTCTGGTCTCTCTCTGGTCTCTCTCTGGTCTCTCTCTGCTCTCTCTTCCTTCTCTCTTTCTCTCTGGTCTCTCTGGTCTCACTTTTTGGTCTCTCTCTCTGGTCTCTCTCTCTCTGGAGTCTCTGGTCGCTCTCTCTGGTCTGTGTCTGGTCTCTCTCTCTGGTGTCTCTGCTCTATCTCTGGTCCCTCTCTGGTTTCTCTCTCTGGTCTCTCTCTCCGATCTCTCTGGTCTTTCTCTCTGGTCACTCACTGGTGTCTCTGGTCGCTCTTTCTGGTCTCTCTCTGGTCCCTCCCTGGTCGCTCCCTGGTCGCTCTTTCTGGTCTCTCTCTGGTCTCTCTCTGGTGTCTTTCTGGTCCCTCTCTAGTCTCTCGCTCTGCTCCCTCTTCCTTCTCTCTTTCTCTCTGGTCTCTCTCAGGTCTCTCTGGTCTCACTTTCTGGTCTCTCTCTCTGGTCTCTCTCTCTGGTCTCTCTCTCTGGTCTCTCTCTGTTCTCTCTCTCTGGTCTCTCTCTGGTCTCTCTCTGCAGTCTCTCTCTCTGGTCTCTCTCTCTCTGGTCTCTCTCTCCGGTCTCTCTCTCTGGTCTCTCTCTGGTCTTTCTCTCTGGTGACTCTCTGGTCTCTCTGGTCCCTCTCTGGTCTATCTGGTCTCTCTCTCTGGTCTCTCTCTCTGGTCTCTCTCTCTCTGGTCTCTCTCTCCGGTCTCTCTCTCTGGTCTCTCTCTGGTCTCTCTCTCTCTGGTCTCTCTCTCCGGTCTCTCTCTCTGGTCTCTCTCTGGTCTCTCTCTCGGGTCTCTCTCTGGTCTCTCTCTCTGGTCTATCTCTGGTCTCTCTCTCTCTGGTCTCTCTCTCTGGTCTTTCTCTCTGGTCTCTGTCTGGTCTCTCTCTGGTCTCTCTGTGCTCTCTCTCTGCTCTCTCTTCCTTTTCTCTTTCTCTCTGGTCTCTTTCTGGTCTCTCTCTGGTCTCTCTCTCTGGTCTCTCTCTGCTCTCTCTCTACTCTCTCTTCCTTCTCTCTTTCTCTCTGGTCTCTCTCTGGTCTCACTTTCTGGTCTCTCTCTCTCTGGTCTCTCTCTCTGGTCTCTCTCTGGTCTCTCTCTGGTTTTTCTCTCTGGTCTCTCTCTGGTCTCTATCTCTGGTCTCTCTCTGGTTTCTCTCTCTGGTCTCTCTCTCTGGTCTTTCTCTCTGGTCTCTCTGGTCTCTCTCTGGTCTCTATCTCTGGTCTCTCTCTCTGGTCTTTCTCTCTGGTCTCTCTGGTCTCTCTCTGGTCTCTCTCTGGTCTCTTTCTGGTCTCACTCTCTGGTGTTTTTCTCTGGTCTCTCTCTCTGGTCTCTCTCTGGTTTCTCTCTCTGGTCTCTCTCTCTGGTCTCCCTCTGGTCTCACTTTCTGGTCTCTCTCTCTGGTCTCTCTCTGGTCTCTCTCTCTGGTCTTTCTCTCTGGTCACTCTCTGGTCTCTCTCTGCTCTCTCTTCCTCTGGTCTCTCTCTCTGCTCTCTCTCTGCTCTCTCTCTGCTCTCTCTCCGGTTTCTCTCCCTGGACTCTCTGGTCTCTCTCTCTGGTCCCTCTCTGGTTTCTCTCTCTGGTCTCTCTCTGCGGTCTCTCTCTCTGGTCTCTCTCTCCGATCTCTCTGGTCTTTCTCTCTGGTCTCTCTGGTCTCTCTCTTTCTCTCTGGTCTCTCTCAGGTCTCTCTGGTCTCACTTTCTGGTCTCTCTCTGGTCTATCTCTCTGGTCTCTCTCTCTGGTCTCTCTCTGGTCTCTCTCTGGTTTTTCTCTCTGGTCTCTCTCTGGTCTCTCTCTCTGGTCTCTCTTTGGTCTCTCTCTGGTCTCTCTCTCTGGTCTCTCTCTGGTTTCTCTCTCTGGTCTCTCTGGTCTCTCTCTGGTCTCTCTCTCTGGTCTCTCTCTGGTTTCTCTCTCTGGTGTCTCTGGTCTCTCTCTGGTCTCTCTGGTCTCTCTCTGGTCTCTCTGGTCTCTCTCTGGTCTCTCTCTGGTCTCTCTCTGGTTTCTCTCTCTGGTCTCTCTCTGGTCTCACTCTCTGGTGTTTTTCTCTGGTCTCTCTCTGGTCTCACTCTCTGGTGTTTTTCTCTGGTCTCTCTCTGGTTTTTCTCTCTGGTCTCTCTCTGGTCTCTCTCTCTGGTCTCTCTCTGGTTTCTCTCTCTGGTTTCTCTCTCTGGTCTCTCTGGTTTCTCTCTCTGATCTCTCTGGTCTCTCTCTCTGGTCTCTCTTTGGTCTCTCTCTGGTCTCTCTCTGGTCTCTCTCTCTGGTCTCTCTCTGGTTTCTCTCTCTGGTCTCTCTGGTCTCTCTCTGGTCTCTCTCTCTCTCTCTTGGTCTCTCTCTGGTCTTCTCTCTCTCTGGTCTCTCTCTCTGGTCTCTCTCTGGTCTCTCTCTGGTCTCTCTGGTCTCTCTCTGGTCTCTCTCTGGTCTCTCTCTGGTGTTCTCTCTCTCTGGTCTCTCTCTGGTCTCTCTCTGGTCTCTCTCTGGTTTCTCTCTCTGGTCTCTCTGGTTTCTCTCTCTGGGTCTCTCTCTGGTTTCTCTCTCTGGTCTCTCTGGTCTCTCTCTCTGGTCTCTCTCTGGTCTCTCTCCGGTTTCTCTCCCTGGACTCTCTGGTCTCTCTCTCTGGTCCCTCTCTGGTTTCTCTCTCTGGTCTCTCTCTGCGGTCTCTCTCTCTGGTCTCTCTCTCCGATCTCTCTGGTCTTTCTCTCTGGTCACTCACTGGTGTCTCTGGTCCCTCCCTGGTCGCTCTTTCTGGTCCCTCTCTAGTCTCTCGCTCTGCTCCCTCTTCCTTCACTCTTTCTCTCTGGTCTCTCTGGTCTCTCTCTTTCTCTCTGGTCTCTCTCAGGTCTCTCTGGTCTCACTTTCTGGTCTCTCTCTCTCTGGTCTCTCTGGTCTCTCTCTGGTCTATCTCTCTGGTCTCTCTCTCTGGTCTCTCTCTGGTCTCTCTCTGGTTTTTCTCTCTGGTCTCTCTCTGGTCTCTCTCTCTGGTCTCTCTCTGGTCTCTCTTTGGTCTCTCTCTGGTCTCTCTCTGGTCTCTCTCTCTGGTCTCTCTCTGGTTTCTCTCTCTGGTCTCTCTGGTCTCTCTCTGGTCTCTCTCTCTGGTCTCTCTCTGGTTTCTCTCTCTGGTCTCTCTGGTCTCTCTCTGGTCTCTCTGGTCTCTCTCTGGTCTCTCTGGTCTCTCTCTGGTCTCTCTCTGGTCTCTCTCTGGTTTCTCTCTCTGGTCTCTCTCTGGTCTCACTCTCTGGTGTTTTTCTCTGGTCTCTCTCTGGTTTTTCTCTCTGGTCTCTCTCTGGTCTCTCTCTCTGGTCTCTCTCTCTGGTCTCTCTCTGGTCTCTCTTTGGTCTCTCTCTGGTCTCTCTCTCTGGTCTCTCTCTGGTTTCTCTCTCTGGTCTCTCTGGTCTCTCTCTGGTCTCTCTCTCTGGTCTCTCTCTGGTTTCTCTCTCTGGTCTCTCTCTGGTCTCTCTGGTCTCTCTCTGGTCTCTCTGGTCTCTCTCTGGTCTCTCTCTGGTCTCTCTCTGGTTTCTCTCTCTGGTCTCTCTCTGGTCTCACTCTCTGGTGTTTTTCTCTGGTCTCTCTCTGGTTTTTCTCTCTGGTCTCTCTCTCTGGTCTCTCTCTCTGGTCTCTCTCTGGTTTCTCTCTCTGGTCTCTCTGGTTTCTCTCTCTGGTCTCTCTGGTCTCTCTCTGGTCTCTCTCTGGTCTCTCTCTGGTCTCTCTCTGGTTTCTCTCTCTGGTCTCTCTGGTTTCTCTCTCTGGTCTCTCTGGTCTCTCTCTCTGGTCTCTCTCTGGTCTCTCTCTGGTCTCTCTCTGGTTTCTCTCTCTGGTCTCTCTCTGGTCTCACTCTCTGGTGTTTTTCTCTGGTCTCTCTCTCTGCTCTCCCTTCCTTTTCTCTTTCTCTCTTGTCTCTTTCTGGTCTTTCACAGTGTGATTCTTGTGTGTTGCTGCTGTAGCTCTGATCGGCGCCTCCTGCTGTTTGGGATGACTTCAGGATCCCTCAGAGTCTACCCTCTGAGTCCAGGAGACCTGAGTCTGGACTCCATGCAGCACTACTGGGCCCTGAGTCTCCATGACAACAGCTGTGGCCCCCTGCGGCTCCTGCGCCTCAGCCATGACCAGCGCTTTGTATTGACGGCCGGAGACGACGGAAACATCTTCAGCTTCAGACTCTTGAGTCCAGACCAGAGGGACAATAGGGATCACAGGGACCAGCCCAGGACCTATGCCAAAGTGCCCTCCCCCCGGGTACACACACACAGACACACACACACACACACACACAACTTTACAAAGTTGTGGATTTACCAACAACAGATCAGAGAATCAAACAGTTTGAACACAGGAAATACAACGATTACAAACTCATAAAGATGGTTGTACCATACCATCATAGCCTGGTTGTACCATACCATCATAGCCTGGTCGTACCATACCATCATAGCCTGGTTGTACCATACCATCATAGCCTGGTTGTACCATACCATCATAGCCTGGTTGTACCATACCATCATAGCCTGGTTGTACCATACCATCATAGTCTGGTCGTACCATACCATCATAGCCTGGTCGTACCATACCATCATAGCCTGGTCGTACCATACCATCATAGCCTGGTCGTACCATACCATCATAGCCTGGTCGTACCATACCATCATAGCCTGGTTGTACCATACCATCATAGCCTGGTCGTACCATACCATCATAGCCTGGTCGTACCATACCATCATAGCCTGGTTGTACCATACCATCATAGCCTGGTTGTACCATACCATCATAGCCTGGTTGTACCATACCATCATAGTCTGGTCGTACCATACCATCATAGCCTGGTCGTACCATACCATCATAGCCTGGTCGTACCATACCATCATAGCCTGGTCGTAACATACCATCATAGCCTGGTCGTACCATACCATCATAGCCTGGTTGTACCATACCATCATAGCCTGGTCGTACCATACCATCATAGTCTGGTTGTACCATACCATCATAGCCTGGTCGTACCATACCATCATAGCCTGGTTGTACCATACCATCATTGCCTGGTTGTACCATACCATCATAGCCTGGTCGTACCATACCATCATAGCCTGGTTGTACCATACCATCATAGCCTGGTTGTACCATACCATCATAGCCTGGTCGTACCATACCATCATTGCCTGGTTGTACCATACCATCATAGCCTGGTCGTACCATACCATCATAGCCTGGTCGTACCATACCATCATAGTCTGGTCGTACCATACCATCATAGCCTGGTTGTACCATACCATCATAGTCTGGTCGTACCATACCATCATAGCCTGGTCGTACCATACCATCATAGCCTGGTCGTACCATACCATCATAGTCTGGTCGTACCATACCATCATAGCCTGGTCGTACCATACCATCATAGCCTGGTTGTACCATACCATCATTGCCTGGTTGTACCATACCATCATAGCCTGGTCGTACCATACCATCATAGCCTGGTTGTACCATACCATCATAGCCTGGTCGTACCATACCATCATAGTCTGGTCGTACCATACCATCATAGCCTGGTCGTACCATACCATTATAGCCTGGTTGTACCATACCATCATTGCCTGGTCGTACCATACCATCATAGCCTGGTCGTACCATACCATCATAGCCTGGTTGTACCATACCATCATTGCCTGGTTGTACCATACCATCATAGCCTGGTCGTACCATACCATCATAGTCTGGTCGTACCATACCATCATAGCCTGGTCGTACCATACCATCATAGCCTGGTCGTACCATACCATCATAGCCTGGTCGTACCATACCATCATAGCCTGGTCGTACCATACCATCATAGCCTGGTGTACCATACCATCATGCCTGGTGTACCATACCATCATGCCTGGTTGTACCATACCATCATAGCCTGGTCGTACCATACCATCATAGCCTGGTTGTACCATACCATCATAGCCTGGTCGTACCATACCATCATAGCCTGGTAGTACCATACCATCATAGCCTGGTCGTACCATACCATCATTGCCTGGTCGTACCATACCATCATTGCCTGGTCGTACCATACCATCATTGCCATCATGCCTGGTCGTACCATACCATCATTGCCTGGTCGTACCATACCATCATAGCCTGGTTGTACCATACCATCATTGCCTGGTCGTACCATACCATCATAGCCTGGTTGTACCATACCATCATAGCCTGGTCGTACCACCATACCATCCTGGTCGTACCATACCATCATAGCCTGGTTGTACCATACCATCATTGCCTGGTTAGCCTGGTCGTTACCATACTGGTGTACCATACCATCATAGCCTGGTCGTACCATACCATCATTGCCTGGTTGTACCATACCATCTATAGCCTGGTCGTACCATACCATCATAGCCTGGTCGTAACCATACCATCATAGTCTGGTCGTACCATACCATCATAGCCTGGTTGTACCATACCATCATAGTCTGGTCGTACCATACCATCATAGCCTGGTCGTACCATACCATCATAGCCTGGTCGTACCATACCATCATAGTCTGGTCGTACCATACCATCATAGCCTGGTTGTACCATACCATCATTGCCTGGTTGTACCATACCATCATAGCCTGGTCGTACCATACCATCATAGCCTGGTTGTACCATACCATCATAGCCTGGTCGTACCATACCATCATAGTCTGGTCGTACCATACCATCATAGCCTGGTCGTACCATACCATTATAGCCTGGTTGTACCATACCATCATTGCCTGGTCGTACCATACCATCATAGCCTGGGTCGTACCATACCATCATAGCCTGGTTGTACCATACCATCATTGCCTGGTTGTACCATACCATCATAGCCTGGTCGTACCATACCATCATAGTCTGGTCGTACCATACCATCATAGCCTGGTCGTACCATACCATCATAGCCTGGTCGTACCATACCATCATAGCCTGGTCGTACCATACCATCATAGCCTGGTCGTACCATACCATCATAGCCTGGTTGTACCATACCATCATTGCCTGGTCGTACCATACCATCATAGCCTGGTTGTACCATACCATCATAGCCTGGTCGTACCATACCATCATTGCCTGGTTTGTACCATACCATCATAGCCTGGTCGTACCATACCATCATAGCCTGGTTGTACCATACCATCATTGCCTGGTCGTACCATACCATCATAGCCTGGTTGTACCATACCATCATAGCCTGGTCGTACCATACCATCATAGCCTGGTTGTACCATACCATCATAGCCTGGTCGTACCATACCATCATAGCCTGGTTGTACCATACCATCATTGCCTGGTTGTACCATACCATCATAGCCTGGTTGTACCATACCATCATTGCCTGGTTGTACCATACCATCATAGCCTGGTCGTACCATACCATCATAGCCTGGTTGTACCATACCATCATAGCCTGGTCGTACCATACCATCATTGCCTGGTCGTACCATACCATCATTGCCTGGTCGTACCATACCATCGTACAAATTACATTTTGTCCTAAGGTCTTGATTTGCTCCATTGACTCCGTTAACAGGTGGGAGGGGTAACTCCTTTTGCAGATTGAAACGCTTGGATCTGAATTTACCGTGATGTATGTATTGCGCCCGAGTGAGTTGCTAGCATTTAACATTTAACCTAGCTTTAGCATTTAGCCTAGCTTTAGCCATCTCCTTTGCCACTTACAGAGCCTGTGGGGAGTAGCGCCACAATCTTTGCAGCAATTACATTTGCCAAACATTCCTCTTACTTCAGTTTCTTGATAGAACCAGAACGGATTACTTTACTATCGCATTCTTCGGCAAACTACAACCGGCCAATTCTGCGCAAACGGTTATATTGCAGACACTGGGACTAGACCCAGATGGTACATGCAGGGAAATGATAATTGACCGGAGTTTACGGATGGCTAAGGCCAAGCTAGCTCATAAGGAGCCGAGACCATCGCAGAGAAACGAACTCAGTGGAAAAAGGTGAGAGACCTGAGGGATAGACTCTCAAAGACACAACGAAATGAAACTTTATCTCAGAGAAAACACATAAGTCTTTTATTAAAGTGTTGTGTTCACAGGCCGGGCTGCAGCAGGAGGAGGTGGCCCAGGACATCGAGGACCCCTCTGTTCTCAGGTGTGGCCCCACCCCTTCTGCTCTGTTTTAGAGGTGTCCAAATATTCAACATTCAGATTGTGATCCATACTTAAATTCATTCTTAAACCAGAAAATGGTTAAAAAAGAAACAAGGACACATGTGACATTTGCTGAACTGAGAAGCTAATATAGCTAAGATGGGCTGAGGAAGGAGGGGCCAGTCTGTGATAGGCTGAGGAAGGAGGGGCCAGTCTGTGATAGGCTGAGGAAGGAGGGGCCAGTCTGTGATAGGCTGAGGAAGGAGGGGCCAGTCTGTGATAGGCTGAGGAGGGAGGGGCCAGTCTGTGATAGGCTGAGGAAGGAGGGGCCAGTCTGTGATAGGCTGAGGAAGGAGGGGCCAGTCTGTGATAGGCTGAGGAAGGAGGGGCCAGTCTGTGATAGGCTGAGGAGGGAGGGGCCAGTCTGTGATAGGCTGAGGAAGGAGGGGCCAGTCTGTGATAGGCTGAGGAAGGAGGGGCCAGTCTGTGATAGGCTGAGGAGGGAAATTTCACACAGATGATGTAACTCTGATGACGTCACTCTGATGATGTCACTCTTCAGTATGGAGATGGCGAGGCAGCGTGTGGAGAGCGACCGTGTGCAACGTGCGGCGGAGCAGAGAAAGGAGCAGACGAGTCGAAAACTGATTGATCTTCAGGAGATCAACAGACAGATCCTGTTAGAGAACCAGGCTCTGGCCCCACATGTCCGCTTGCGACCGGAGGTTTGTGCCTCACACATTAAACACCTTATACATGCAAACAGTATACAGAGGGTCAGGCCTCAGTATACAGAGGGTTAGGCCTCAGTATACAGAGGGTCAGGCCTCAGTATACAGAGGGTCAGGCCTCAGTATACAGAGGGTCAGGCCTCAGTATACAGAGGGTCAGGCCTCAGTATACAGAGGGTCAGGCCTCAGTATACAGAGGGTCAGGCCTCAGTATACAGAGGGTCAGGCCTCAGTATACAGAGGGTCAGGCCTCAGTATACAGAGGGTTAGGCCTCAGTATACAGAGGGTTAGGCCTCAGTATACAGAGGGTCGGGCCTCAGTATACAGAGGGTCAGGCCTCAGTATACAGAGGGTTAGGCCTCAGTATACAGAGGGTTAGGCCTCAGTATACAGAGGGTCAGGCCTCAGTATACAGAGGGTCGGGCCTCAGTATACAGAGGGTCAGGCCTCAGTATACAGAGGGTCAGGCCTCAGTATACAGAGGGTTAGGCCTCAGTATACAGAGGGTCGGGCCTCAGTATACAGAGGGTCAGGCCTCAGTATACAGAGGGTCAGGCCTCAGTATACAGAGGGTCAGGCCTCAGTATACAGAGGGTCGGGCCTCAGTATACAGAGGGTCAGGCCTCAGTATACAGAGGGTCAGGCCTCAGTATACAGAGGGTTAGGCCTCAGTATACAGAGGGTCGGGCCTCAGTATACAGAGGGTCAGGCCTCAGTATACAGAGGGTCGGGCCTCAGTATACAGAGGGTCAGGCCTCAGTATACAGAGGGTCAGGGCCTCAGTATACAGGCCCGGGCCTCAGTATACAGAGGGTCGGGCCTCAGTATACAGAGGGTCAGGCCTCAGTATACAGAGGGTCGGGCCTCAGTATACAGAGGGTCAGGCCTCAGTATACAGAGGGTCGGGCCTCAGTATACAGAGGGTCAGGCCTCAGTATACAGAGGGTCGGGCCTCAGTATACAGAGGGTCAGGCCTCAGTATACAGAGGGTTAGGCCTCAGTATACAGAGGGTCAGGCCTCAGTATACAGAGGGTCAGGCCTCAGTATACAGAGGGTTAGGCCTCAGTATACAGAGGGTCAGGCCTCAGTATACAGAGGGTCAGGCCTCAGTATACAGAGGGTTAGGCCTCAGTATACAGAGGGTCAGGCCTCAGTATACAGAGGGTCAGGCCTCAGTATACAGAGGGTCAGGCCTCAGTATACAGAGGGTCAGGCCTCAGTATACAGAGGGTCAGGCCTCAGTATACAGAGGGTCGGGCCTCAGTATACAGAGGGTCGGGCCTCAGTATACAGAGGGTCAGGCCTCAGTATACAGAGGGTCAGGCCTCAGTATACAGAGGGTCAGGCCTCAGTATACAGAGGGTCAGGCCTCAGTATACAGAGGGTCAGGCCTCAGTATACAGAGGGTCAGGCCTCAGTATATAGAGGGTTAGGCCTCAGTATACAGAGGGTCAGGCCTCAGTATACAGAGGGTCAGGCCTCAGTATACAGAGGGTCGGGCCTCAGTATACAGAGGGTCAGGCCTCAGTATACAGAGGGTCAGGCCTCAGTATACAGAGGGTCAGGCCTCAGTATACAGAGGGTCAGGCCTCAGTATACAGAGGGTCAGGCCTCAGTATACAGAGGGTCAGGCCTCAGTATACAGAGGGTCAGGCCTCAGTATACAGAGGGTCGGGCCTCAGTATACAGAGGGTTAGGCCTCAGTATACAGAGGGTCAGGCCTCAGTATACAGAGGGTCAGGCCTCAGTATACAGAGGGTCAGGCCTCAGTATACAGAGGGTCAGGCCTCAGTATACAGAGGGTCGGGCCTCAGTATACAGAGGGTCAGTATACAGAGGGTCAGGTATACAGAGGGTCAGGCCTCAGTATACAGAGGGTCGGGCCTCAGTATACAGAGGGTCAGGCCTCAGTATACAGAGGGTCAGGCCTCAGTATACAGAGGGTCAGGCCTCAGTATACAGAGGGTCAGGCCTCAGTATACAGAGGGTTAGGCCTCAGTATACAGAGGGTCAGGCCTCAGTATACAGAGGGTCAGGCCTCAGTATACAGAGGGTTAGGCCTCAGTATACAGAGGGTCAGGCCTCAGTATACAGAGGGTCAGGCCTCAGTATACAGAGGGTCAGGCCTCAGTATACAGAGGGTCAGGCCTCAGTATACAGAAGGTCAGGCCTCAGTATACAGAGGGTCAGGCCTCAGTATACAGAGGGTCAGGCCTCAGTATACAGAGGGTCAGGCCTCAGTATACAGAGGGTCAGGCCTCAGTATACAGAGGGTCGGGCCTCAGTATACAGAGGGTCAGGCCTCAGTATACAGAGGGTCAGGCCTCAGTATACAGAGGGTCAGGCCTCAGTATACAGAGGGTCGGGCCTCAGTATACAGAGGGTCGGGCCTCAGTATACAGAGGGTCGGGCCTCAGTATACAGAGGGTTAGGCCTCAGTATACAGAGGGTCGGGCCTCAGTATACAGAGGGTCGGGCCTCAGTATACAGAGGGTCAGGCCTCAGTATACAGAGGGTCGGGCCTCAGTATACAGAGGGTCAGGCCTCAGTATACAGAGGGTCAGGCCTCAGTATACAGAGGGTCAGGCCTCAGTATACAGAGGGTCGGGCCTCAGTATACAGAGGGTCAGGCCTCAGTATACAGAGGGTCAGGCCTCATAATAATAATAATAATAATGATGATAATAATTAAAGCCGCAAGCGGCGATGAAAGGCTTCGCCACTCTCCCGGGCGCAAGTCCCACAAGCGTTATGCACCTTACTCGCCGAAGAATTTGCAGCCCGATAGGACCAGGGTTACGCACAGAAAAGCTCATTAAAAGGATTCAGTGCGCCCCTAGTGGTCATCTCCTCTACTTAATGTAGTATTTTGCTCATACGGATGTAAAGATTCGACTGTGCGACTTTGGTGAAGATCGGGAAAGTTTGGGTCGGGAGCGCCCCATAGGTGGCGCTCTAGAGTCATATAAGGTGTGTTTTTTCACACCATTACGCTCAGGTCATTACCCAATGTTTCTGATGTGAGTTTCAGCTCTGTAGGTCTGAGATTGTGGCAAAAAGAGCACGACATAGTTCACCCCTAGTGGTCATCCGTGGGACATGCACCCTCTGCTTAGTGTAACATTTTTGCTTGTATGGATGTAAAGATTTGACCCAGTGACTTTGATGCAGTTTATTTTTTGGTTCAAAGCCTCCCATAGGTGGCGCTATAGAGTTCATATTGAGTGTGTATTTTCACACTAATTTGCTTATCACAGTTATGAAACAGTAATAATGTAAATAGAGCATAAAATAATCTTCAACAAACTAACCCTAACACAATAGAGTCTGAACCCCCAGTTGCCAGAGTCCCAGACCAACGCTTTAACCACTACACTAGGTGCGCCACTGGTGGTCAGGTCGGGTATTGCAGCTCTGAGTATAAAATGAGCATATGAAATTAAAAGCTTTCTGGCATGAGAACGCTGATGAATTTCTGACTTTTTTGTAATGATTATATAACTTCAATCGGTCCAGGTTGGGAAAACTCTGTATGATGAAAAACCAGGGACTAGTACGAATCCAAAATCACAACACCTTGAACTGCCTGTAGGTGGCGCTGTTGCACTCACAGTTATGGGATGCATATCGTTGTGTTCAGAGTCATAAGTTGTATTGGTGAATTCATTTCTAGCCTCATCGGACAATAATTTCTCCCCAAAAAGCTCATTTCCATATTTTTTGGCGCCCCCAGTGGTCAGGTGTAGGACTTACAACTTTTGCGTAATGTAATGTTTTGCTCGTCTCGGTCCAGAGAATACACTCAGCGATTTTCGGGCCGATCCGAGCACTAGTGCCCTATTACTTTCCAACAGGTGGCGCTAAAGAGCTCATATTGGGCGAATGATTTTAGTGTCATTGCGTTCAGGCCATAACTTAATATTACTGATGTGAGTCTCAGCTCTGTAGGTCTGAGCCTGTGGCCCTCAGGGCTCAGCGAAAATGGCCAAAACGAAGGCCTTATTCGCCATGGCGAGGGACGAAGACGGTGAAGAATTTCTAACTTTTTATTACTTCAATCTGTCCAGATTGGAAAATGACGTGGAAGAACTCAGTGTGATGAAAAACCAGGGACTAGTTCGAAGTTAAAAATGAAAAGTCAAATTGGTGGCGAAACTTCAGCCCGTCATGGCCGACTTCCTGTTGGTCCCAGACATGTGCTTAGACCGGCTTTTATGCTCGTCTCATAGAGATCTATCACTCATCTGAATTTTGTGTATCTACTCCAAAATATGAAAAAAATCCCCAGAGGGTCAAAAAAAAGATTTTTCTAGGGGGCGTTATAGAGTCGCTGATTCGCCGATTTCATATTATTTTTCTTCCGCTTTTTCAGCCGAAACAATTCGATTTTTGACCCTGAAGACATGCACGAAAGTCTGCACATGGGGGGTCTAAAACGACCGGTTCGGCAGAAAAATAATATGAATCCGGCGAATAACAATAGGCCTCCCCAATACTACGCCTAATAATAAATGTTATTTATAATGCACTTGCTACAGAACAGGGAACTTCCCCAAGATACACAACATTAAAAATTAAGAAATTACAAATTTACAAAACATCATATAGACACCATCATGAACACATAAAAACATAACTACACTTCTAGAAGGCCTGTTTGAATTTTAAGGCCTTGAGGCCTTTCTTGAAAGCATCCATACTTTGTGGGGCCCTGAGGGTCTCAGGGAGGGCATTCCAGAGCCGGGGGGCTGTTATACAGAGCTTGCCTTGCATGTTCTAAACAGGAGCTGAATGTGGACCAGCGTCTGGAGGCGCACAAAGAACAGCAGCAGCAGCAGCAGCAGCAGCAGCAGCAGCAGATGGAGCAGCAGCAGCAGCAGCAGCAGCAGCAGCAGATGGAGCAGCAGCAGCAGCAGCAGCAGCAGCAGCAGCAGCAGCAGCAGATGGAGCAGCAGCAGCAGCAGCAGCAGCAGCAGCAGATGGAGCAGGAACTGTCCTGGGACCTGGAGTGCAGCCAGCTCGCCCTGGAGAAGATGCACTCTCTGTATTTGGATTATTCTCATATTTTTAAAGATGTAGTGGTCTCTCTGGTCTCTTTCTGGTCTCTCTCAGGTCTCTCTCTGGTCTCTTTGTGGTCTCTCTCTGGTCTCTCTCTGGTCTCTCTATGGTCTCTCTCTCTGGTCTCTCCCTTGTCTCTCTCTGGTCTCTCTCTGGTCTCTCTCAGGTCTCTCTCTCTGGTTTCTCTCAGGTTTGTCTCTCTGGTCTCTCTCTGGTCTCGTTCTGATCTCTCTCAGTTCTCCTTCTCTGGTTTTGTTCTGGTCTCTCTCAATTATTTCTGTCTGGTCTCTCTCTGGTCACAGTCTGGTCTCTCTTTGGTCTCTCTCAGTTGTCCCTCTCTGGTCTCGGTCTGGTCTCTCTCAGGTCTCTCTCAGTTTTTTTTTTGTCTGGTCTCTCTCTGGTCTCTCCCTGGCCTCTCAGTGCTCCCTCTCTGGTCTCTCCCTGTTGTACCATACCATCATTGCCTGGTTGTACCATACCATCATTGCCTGGTTGTACCATACCATCATAGCCTGGTCGTACCATACCATCATAGCCTGGTCGTACCATACCATCATAGCCTGGTCGTACCATACCATCATAGTCTGGTCGTACCATACCATCATAGCCTGGTCGTACCATACCATCATAGTCTGGTCGTACCATACCATCATAGCCTGGTCGTACCATACCATCATAGCCTGGTCGTACCATACCATCATAGCCTGGTCGTACCATACCATCATAGCCTGGTTGTACCATACCATCATAGCCTGGTCGTACCATACCATCATAGTCTGGTCGTACCATACCATCATAGCCTGGTTGTACCATACCATCATAGCCTGGTTGTACCATACCATCATAGCCTGGTTGTACCATACCATCATAGCCTGGTCGTACCATACCATCATAGCCTGGTCGTACCATACCATCATAGTCTGGTCGTACCATACCATCATAGCCTGGTCGTACCATACCATTATAGCCTGGTCGTACCATACCATCATAGCCTGGTTGTACCATACCATCATAGCCTGGTCGTACCATACCATCATAGCCTGGTCGTACCATACCATCATAGCCTGGTCGTACCATACCATCATAGACTGGTCGTACCATACCATCATAGCCTGGTCGTACCATACCATCATAGTCTGGTCGTACCATACCATCATAGCCTGGTCGTACCATACCATCATAGCCTGGTCGTACCATACCATCATAGCCTGGTTGTACCATACCATCATAGCCTGGTCGTACCATACCATCATAGCCTGGTCGTACCATACCATCATAGCCTGGTTGTACCATACCATCATAGCCTGGTCGTACCATACCATCATAGCCTGGTCGTACCATACCATCATAGCCTGGTTGTACCATACCATCATAGCCTGGTCGTACCATACCATCATAGCCTGGTTGTACCATACCATCATAGCCTGGTTGTACCATACCATCATAGCCTGGTTGTACCATACCATCATAGCCTGGTCGTACCATACCATCATAGCCTGGTCGTACCATACCATCATAGCCTGGTTGTACCACACCATCATAGCCTGGTTGTACCATACCATCATAGCCTGGTCGTACCATACCATCATAGCCTGGTTGTACCATACCATCATAGCCTGGTTGTACCATACCATCATAGCCTGGTTGTACCATACCATCATAGCCGGGTTGTACCATACCATCATAGCCTGGTCGTACCATACCATCATAGCCTGGTGGTACCATACCATCATAGCCTGGTCGTACCATACCATCATAGCCTGGTCGTACCATACCATCATAGTCTGGTCGTACCATACCATCATAGCCTGGTCGTACCATACCATTATAGCCTGGTCGTACCATACCATCATAGCCTGGTTGTACCATACCATCATAGCCTGGTCGTACCATACCATCATAGCCTGGTCGTACCATACCATCATAGCCTGGTCGTACCATACCATCATAGCCTGGTCGTACCATACCATCATAGCCTGGTCGTACCATACCATCATAGTCTGGTCGTACCATACCATCATAGCCTGGTCGTACCATACCATCATAGCCTGGTCGTACCATACCATCATAGCCTGGTTGTACCATACCATCATAGCCTGGTTGTACCATACCATCATAGCCTGGTCGTACCATACCATCATAGCCTGGTTGTACCATACCATCATAGCCTGGTCGTACCATACCATCATAGCCTGGTCGTACCATACCATCATAGCCTGGTTGTACCATACCATCATAGCCTGGTCGTACCATACCATCATAGCCTGGTTGTACCATACCATCATAGCCTGGTTGTACCATACCATCATAGCCTGGTTGTACCATACCATCATAGCCTGGTCGTACCATACCATCATAGCCTGGTCGTACCATACCATCATAGCCTGGTTGTACCACACCATCATAGCCTGGTTGTACCATACCATCATAGCCTGGTCGTACCATACCATCATAGCCTGGTTGTACCATACCATCATAGCCTGGTTGTACCATACCATCATAGCCTGGTTGTACCATACCATCATAGCCGGGTTGTACCATACCATCATAGCCTGGTCGTACCATACCATCATAGCCTGGTCGTACCATACCATCATAGCCTGGTCGTACCATACCATCATAGCCTGGTCGTACCATACCATCATAGCCTGGTCGTACCATACCATCGTACAAATTACATTTTGTCCTAAGGTCTTGATTCGCTCCATTGACTCCGTTAACAGGTGGGAGGGGTAACTCCTTTTGCAGATTGAAACGCTTGGATTCGAGTGTGTGTGCAGGTTTCTTTCAGTTCTTTCTGTCTGGGTCTCTCTCTGGTCTCTCTCTCTGGTCTTTCACTGGTCTCCCTCTGGTCTCTCTCTGGTCTCTCTCTGGTCTCTCTCTGGTCTCTCTCTGGTCTCTCTCTGGTCTCTCTCTGGTCTCTCTCTGGTCTCTCTCTGGTCTCTCTCCGGTCTCTCTCTGGTCTCTCTCTGGTCTCTCTCTGGTCTTTCTCTGGTCTCCCTTTGGTCTCTCTT